ACGTCTAAAGCTTAGTGCCACACTGACGCACTGCCCGTAAGGCGTTCCGGCCACCCCTGGGGTAGGCGAACCCGCCAGCCGTCGTGGTACCGCACACTGTACCGCACGCAGGCGTGCGTGTTGCCTACCTGCAATGCCCGTTTGGCGCTACGGCCCCCTGGGCCTGGGGTAGGAAACGTGGGGTGAAGTATAACTGCAGGAGCCACATTTTCCCAAATTTCAGCATATCGATGAGGTCGGAGAAAAATAGGTCGGACAATCTAAATACACTCCGTGCTTCGGCTGATCCCTTTACGAACTCAGAAGTCGTCCTGCGGTGGGATGAGGAAAGTACTCCCCAATTTTATTTTTTTTCCCGGGTAGGGGAATAGGGGCGTTAGCATTTACGACGCCGAGAGGACTCATTTCTGCAGTCGGTTCTGACAAAGCTGCCAGTGGCCGAGTCGGTTGTAGCTCAAGCAGGGACGGCGGTCTGTAAGTGTGAGAGCTCAGCGCCTGCGAGACTCAGGGTAGGCCATCCCGCATTACACGCAAGTACTCGAGGCAAGACATTGCCTACCTACAAGGCGCTATGAGACCTGTCGGCTACCTCAACTCAGTCATTACGTTACTGCAGATGATGGATGTACTTTTTCGATTATCCCAACTCATTAAGGTGATACTAGTATATTTCTCAAGAATAAATTAATTGGGTTATAAGGGGTATTTAAGGAAAGTACCCCCACGTTTTTATTTTTCGAATCTCTGCCAAAATGATATTGTTTTGGGGGGCCAGGTGAGCAACATCCTTGGGGCTCAACTTGTTCGTAATATTCGTCGTCTGCGACCTCGGAATCTCTCGTGTACCTACACCGGCAGACACTGGTTGGGGACCTTTCGCTATAGTTGATTCTTTCGCTGACAAAAGTGGCATTATTGGCAAATGTATTGGGTAAATTAGGAATAAACTGGTAAATTTATTTGGTTTTATTGCTAAATTAATATCTTTGTCCAGGAATGAAGGAACATTTATGGCAAGTTTTCTCTTATAATTCTAGGTGTCTACCAGTAATTGAAATTCAAATATATCAACTGTGTACAAAACTGTACAAACACATTTTTGTAAAACTAATTTACAACTACAATATGTACATCTTCATCATAGACAAAATGTAAATGTAGCCTGACAAGTTAGCTAGACTCATGTCAGTAACTATAAAATAATAAAAGGCTGTGTCAAATTGTGATCTCATTGTCATTATGAGTAGTTCAAACATGATTTTTTTTTTTGTTTTGTTTTTCTACACCAGCAAAACACAAATTAAAAGTTTCTAACTTTCAGGGAAAAAATAAATAAATACAGTAGTACTTAGCACAGTTTGCACTAAAATGGTTTTTAGAAGTTATCACTTGAGGGTACACAGGGAAACAAAGAGAGCAATGTACATTAACATTTCGACATTGTTCAGGAACTAGATGCTGCTTTGGTCATTGCTACGCAATGATTCATTTATTATACATACATCAATTCATATGTTGCCAGGTACATTCCTAAAAGAAGTTTAGCAATGTAACTTTGAGCGAATCGGTGAGTTGTGAAAAGAGCTTCGGCAACAATCAACCATAAAAATAAACTACGCAGTACTAAAATATAACTCTACACTAACTTGTTTCCCTTAATTTCAGAGTAATTATGGAAAGGGTTCTACAATGGAATATGCAGAACTACTGAAATGGACAAATGCTTCATTCCAACAATTTAACATCTGCAAAAAATTTCTGTTGAAGCCAAAGGCTTAAGACTTAAGACAGAAAAATAATTCAAAAATGGTATAATAAATTGACACTTATAGGCGTACACTCCTTTTTCAAAAATGATACATTAGGTCTGTAAATTTCAGCCCAATACCAACATACAGTCTAAAAATGATGCCTGTAATCTTTTTAAGAACCTTAGTATCCCTGAATCTGGACGGCTAAAGCGGAGCAATGGTGATGATAAATTTTAGATTAAAAATGTTTCTTATGGTACTTACCATAAGATTCATTCTGGAACTAAAAGTAACCAAATGGTAATTCTAATCTTGCAAAATAAAACATACTTTCAGTAGATTGTGCATTTAAAAAACAGTTTGAGTGACACAATATCAATGAAGATCATGTTTGTTATGCACTTGTACATTCTCATAAGATCTGGCAGTTGTATGAGAGACTTTGACTTACGTGCCTCCATAAACAGCAATTATTAATACAACACTAAATATCAAAACAAATATATCTAGAGTAATGATTTGCTTTATGTCAGTCTGTGGGCATTAAGATCACAATACCCTCTTCTAGAAAATATACATTTCTTATCTATTAGATTACAAAAACAACAACAGAAAAACTGATATGTCAGAAGTCATACAAAAAATATCAGACTCTGTCTGACTTAAATAACACAGAAACATGAAGAGTAATTTCATAAAGAATTTACTAACAATTAATTCTTCTTCACTTCCTTAAGAACAAGAGAGAGACAGAGCAGTTGGTTACAGTTCAATAAAACCTCGCACATGTAATCTTTAAAAACATTCACAGCGTGATCAACATGAAATTATACAACTTAGAAACAAAAATGAAATTGGTGGGTGATACAGCAACAATCAAACAGCGGAGGAAAATTGCATTAATTACATTTTATGCTGCACAAACAGGCTATGCAAGAAGCTGATTGAGCTGTAGGGGATTTCAGAATGTATAGGTCACCATTAAATTGAGCACATTTCATGATATGCCACTCTATATTATTAGTTCCCACCCATCCTTAAAATTAAAATGTCCCTTATCATACACCACTCTCATTCAAGGAAAAAACAAAAGTGTTTGTCAAATGGCCAATGTTATCACATTCATGTTTAACTTAAAGACTCAAATGTTTAATTAACAGGCAAAGTAAAGTTTTAAAAAGAAACTAATATTAAATCAGAAAAATAAAAGTAAAATGATAATGAACATAGTTTAAAAATCCAACACAAAATCAACCTTATCATCACAAGTACATCAATATGTTGACTATACTGATTTAGATGCGTACAACATTTGACAATATATAAGTAACAATGCACAATCTGTGCCAATCAAGCACAAACATTTTAACTTTCATACCTTAGTCAAAATTCATGGCACAATGTGGAATAATAATTAATAATTTAAAACAAAGGAAAGATTTAAAACTTCAAGTAAATTATTATTTGCAGAGATAGTTTGAGGCAATTCACGGTAGTTCAAACCAAAAAAGGTATTCTTCAAGCCTGAGTTTACCTGATGCTTTTATGTCAAAATTTTGAGGGAGTAATTGACCTCAATTCCTGCTTCATTGGATTAGGCCTTGGGTGGACGGCACAATTTCTTCTCTGATTTTAATTCAACTTTTATGAACAGACCAAAGTGTTTTCTCATAAGAAGTTTCAATTTGGCCAGTCTCATTGTGAAGAGTAATACAGACCAATCTAGAGCTTAATGACAATTCACAAGTGATAAGTACTGTAACTTGGAACAGCAAAAGATTAACAATAGTTATATCAGACTTAGTGGAAATGCTTAAAATGTACTGGTGAAGGAGTACAATTTTTGAATGGGCCACCAATTGAAGGTTAAAAATTATTGCACTTCACCATCAAGTTCATTTAAGTTAGTAAAACCTTCAATGTGCTTATTTTATTGAGTCTCAGCTAAATATGTTGGATAAATATATTGATATGCATTATGAAAGTCTCAAATCTCAGTGAAAGGACTTTGAAGTAAAAGGGGAATTGAGAGATAAACTACCCTGATTTCCTTATTTGAAGTGGCAGTGTTCATGGAATTCATTCTTACAGAACAATCTGCACAGGACATCTAAACATGCTTCTGAGATATCAACAGCAGTTATGGCAAATTATAATATTATTAAATGATGGCAGCTTTTCTTCTTGTGATATTTTTGCTGCCTGTTAGCCAGTACTAGCTCCCTACAAGCTCCATTTGGCGATATTTCTTCCTCATGTTTGAAACTGGATCCTTGAATAACACTGGGTCTAACCTCATGTTTGATCTGAGTAAAGGCATGTACCCAAATACAGCTGCAAAAGTGTTGAGGCAAGTTTGGCGTTGAATGAAATGATCAGGGTCATTCCAAGGGGACCTGAAGACAGAGAAATATTCATAAGACTAGGCCAATTATGGCTCAAATGTGAAACTAAATAATTTGTTGACGAAATTGAAGTAAAACCAAAACATGTCCATTAAAAATGTCTTTTGACATACCTTGCTCCTCCTGCAGGCTGGTCTTTGTATTGCTTGCGCTGCGTGACTTTAATTGGGGGACGCCGAGTGACGTGACTAACTAGAAAGTTCATAAGAATATCTTCACAGTTCTGTGACTGCTCTACAGTCTTATGTAGCAGTGGGCTTAACCAGTGCCAGTACAAATAATTATAATATCGGTGGTAAAATGCAGCCCCAGTCAGTACCATTGAATAATCGTTGGTCCACTTTGACGTGTACCCCCAAGAGCCCTGTGAGATAAAAAGAACAGAACAAGAACAGTTTAGGTTAAGAAACATTATTTTAAGACAAAGTCAGATCGTTAACAAAGATATCACAGCACAGTGGCATTGTTATAGCTCTTCATAAACTAAGTTCAAAAAAGTATGGCAAAAAAATGTGCCACTAAACGAAAATTCCAGCTAACCATACTTTTAGAACTCACTTTTGCATCATCCCAGTAATGTGAGCGCCCAGGGTAGCCGACTATCCGGTCTGGGAATGACTTCCAGACCTGGAAGGCAAAGTCGACTTCGTCGGTCGTGAGCAAGGTGTCCTCGTCGAGCGACAGCACGGCGGCAGTCTGGATCAGCGGGTAGGGGTAGAACCGCTGGGAAATGCCTGCCCCGGCGCCCAGCGTCTTGGAGCTGCCCGTCGGCACTACGGAAGGACGAGAAAAGTAGTTCCAAATACAATTAATACTAGGGTAGTTTCAATCACAGGAACAGCACGTTGTAAAGTACACCTGGACAGCCAACAGCGGGCGCCGCTCGGCTCGGCTCACCTGGGGCGTTGTGCAGCTGCAGGACGGTGAGGGGGACGTGGCCCGGCAGGCTGGGCCAGCGGGAGCGGGCGGGCGGCGGGCGCTCTCCTGACCACAGCACCAGCACCTGCGAGCAACGACTCACGTTAGACAAAACGCAGGTGGAGTGAGTGGAGTGCACCCGAAAAGCTTGCTCTTGGGTGAAGTAAATGTGCTCGGCTGAACCGAGAACATTGTCTTGTCCCGATGCAAATTGCATTGTTGCAAATGACAATTGCAAAGCCCAGACGCAAATGTTCTTGAGAAATCAGGGTTCAAGAACATGCTTTCCTGGCTGATGAGACACAGGTCCTGCTACTCACCCTGTCGACGAAGGCGCTGCGGCCCACGTTCCTGAGCAGCCTGCTGAGCGCGGGGGCGGGCGTGGTGACGGGCTGCTGCGCCGCGCCCCCAGCGCCACGGCCCGCCGCCAGCTGCCCGGCGTAGATGACGGCGGTGAACCGCTCCGCCTCCACGGACCCCGAGTCCGAGTCCACGACGGCGTGCTGCAGACCCTGGAGGCCCTGGAGGCCCTGGAGGCCCTGGAGGCCCTGGAGGCCCTGGAGGCCATGCAGGGTCGCGGACGCGCGCGCCGCGCCCTCGCCGCCCGTGAGCCCGCCGAGCCGCTCCGAGTAGAACGGGAAGCGGGAGGACGAGTCGGCGAAGCGGGGCAGCGTGACCAGCCCGCCGGGCATCACGTTCCACGCCAGGCCCTCGCGGACCGGCTGCCAGGGGATGCGCTCGCGGACGATCTGAGACAGACACACCGTCAACCACACCGACCGAGGGAACGGCGAGTCCGGGAGAAAGCCAAGGCGACTTACCTCGAGCGTGGTGAAGACGATCTTCTCAATGGACGAGAAGTAGCGCTCCCACAGGATCTGCGTCTGCTGCCGCAGCGCCAGCACCTTGGACGCCGGGATGGAGCGCACCAGCTCGGGCACCTGCGACAGGCGATCAGGCACACCGTTAGGCACATGCGAAGAACGATTACTCCGAGTGATTAAGTACACATGTTTGAATTATCGAGGTGTTTTCACTATTTGCAATGCCATGGGAGTTATCATAAAGCTGCACGAATTCATTCATTGCGATCGCCGGACGCGCTGGTCTCGGGCACGGACCCTGGCCACGGCCTGGCCCCCCAGCACCGCCGCTTATTAGAACGCCATGGCGCGGGGCGGGGCGGGGCGGGGCGGGCGGTGGCTCTCCTTTATGAAGGCCGGGGCTATGGAGCTATTGAGGCAGAGGCCCTCTGGGTCCGGGTGGTCGCGCGGCCCTCGACTGCGTGCGAGAGAGACGCGGCCCGAGGCTTCCTCCCCCTCTCTCCGTCCTTCCACCTCTCCCCGGTCTTATCGTAAGTCGTTAGCGCGGCGAATATTTTATGTTCGGTCAACAGTTGAGCACCGCCGCCGCCACCAGCCCTTCGACTACGACCCTCTGACCACGACCCTTTCACCACGGACCTTCGACCACGACCCCACCCCCCTGCGGGGTGCGACCAGAAGCACCGATAAAGGCCCGCAGAGAGTATGTGAGACATATGTCTGCAAGCGTCTGAACAGAATCATTTGTTTTGAACAGAAAGGGGCGGACGGGGACATACATAATCCGATCGTTCTCGGCTCTGATTTTTGAGCAAACTTTGCAGCAGTCCATATAATAAACACTTATGAACTGAAGTTGGCCATATAATAGGGTAACAATACAACACTGCATAATCCACCTCACATTGCCCCGCAGGTCAAGACCAAATGTTCCTTGGACGTGTTCTGCCAGGTTTGGTTCGCCAACGGCTGTCGGACTAGCGGGAACTATTTTAAGCTTGGATATGGACGACAGACGACAGTGCGACAATGCCCCCTCCCCTTTTACATCTGTCCTCGCACTCTCCGCTTACAGGGTGGCGACATCACCCCACCGCCTGCCTGGAGGCTTTTTAGCAAATAGAAATATATGCAAATTATTTTCAATTACTCTGACAACTTAAAAGAAACAAATAAAATAATAAAATAAAACCACTACGAAAAAAAGGAAAGGAATTTGCATAGAATCTCTGCCCGCGTGTGAGGATTTGTGGTGTTGGCAGTCATATCCATCGCGTGTATTCAACTCAGTGGTCCAGCATAGGGGCTGCCCAGAAACCACGTGGCCGACGGGGTGCTTGGGCGGGTCTCATCAAATGACAAAATGTCCTCTAAAATTCTGCGAAACTTCACACGCGATTCTAGCAAATATTTTGCGAGGATCCATTTATTCTCATTTTTACAGACCGTTGTCGTTATGACAAGCTCCCCCCATGCCCCCCCCCCCAAAAAAAAAGGATTTAAAAAAACATTTTTAAAAAATATCTCCCACTTCCGCGTGCGAGAGCGTCCCCGGGCTGTTCCCCGCTGTACCGCAGGCAGCTGTAGCGCTTGTAGCGGCGCGGCGCAGAAAGAATAAATCTCGGGGCGGCCGGGCTCGCCGGGCTGCGGGATGAAAACGAAATAAACGGCTGTAATTGCCGTGCGCAAATCCAATATCAGTCACGGACATGGCGGCCCACATGGCGGCGGGGCGGACGTGCCGCGACATATGGGCCCCCCGCCCCACACTGTCTGTCTGGACCCACCTACCCTCTACCTACGTGGCGGCGGCGGCAGTGGCGATGCAATATACTATTATCTCTGTTGTCTCTTGTGTGCTCTTTACACTTTTACAGAGCTTACATGCGAAGTGAATATTGGGTTCTGTAAATTGTTTTAACTGAGCCTTTCGTTTTTTGTTTTTTTTTCATTTCATTTGACTTTTTACAAATTTCCTCATCAGTTTGCAGGAAAGATGGTTCAGGCTCTATTTGATTTTATAGGGTGCACCGGAATTTAGTTTCTCTCCTTTACAATATTATTTTACAGTTCAAGTTCAAGCTAAAGGCCTCTCTGAAGGAGAAGTGTCACAACGAACGACTCATTTCACGAACCGTAGCGAACGACACAATCAAACAAAACTCAATAAATATGCATTACTGACTTATATTCTGTTTTCACATACCGTCTGAAATTTTAACTAAGCACCTGAAAGCTGAAGTTTCGTCTGGCAAGCACTTTGGTAAACAAGTCCCCAACCCACAATTTGTTTTCCATTTTTTTTTCTTTCTTTATT